TGAATAAAATTCCTTTCGTGAATTAAATTATGTAAAAATGTTGTTCTTTGACGTGACATTAAAAAGAAATTAAATTCAAATAATTAAAAATTCTTCGCCAAGAGTTCTTGTACAAAAAAAAAATTTTTTTTTTTATATTTTAACGACAATAACTACCGCGTCATAATAATAATATACAAACTTGTCATCTAATCATGAAACGAAACACACACAGACACACACATACAAATACTAATATAGCACAAATATTGTATGAGATAAAATTTCGATAAAAATCTACACGACGATGACATAAAGTCTGGTTCAATTTTAATAAATGTCCTCGAGATTATTAAAATTAAATTTAAATTTATATTTTTTTTAATATTAAAATTCTAAGCATTTTTTTTTATGACACAAATTTTATTATTAATATATTTCATATATTTCATATATTTCATACAGCGCGCAATTCATTGTGAAATATGTTTTTCGTTAAAAAAAAAAAAAGTTTTACGAATTTACAAAAAGAAAATTAAACATTCATAGCTATGAAAGTTTCTATTTAGGGAAATGTAATTTTGTAATTTAATATCGAAATTTAAATCCACAAGTTTTGAACGAGAGGAAATATTTTTTATTTAATGTTTATAAATTACGGATTGCGATAAAAATTCAAAAAACTTAAATTTTACATTTCGAGAAAGTTTATAATTATTTTTAGTGACAGAAATTTATTGTAATAAACTTTTAATTTAATGAAGTAATGAATAAATTTCGTTCATTTGAAAGTTTAGAACTTTTCGAAGTTTTAATACTTTGAATTGTTCATAGTTAATTGTTGGTAAAATTAAAAATATAAATATAAATAATAATTATTATTTTAAAGTAAATAATAATAAGAAAAGACCCTGAAATATTCTGAAGTATTTCATTTGATCGGTTCATCAATAGTTTTTAGTTTTCTCCTTTCCTTTAAAATTAAATTTCACTCTTATAAATCATCAATTTATAACGAACTGACATTTAATTTAATATTTAATTCAATATCAATATGCCAATATTATTATTAATATTTCAAGCGCAACTTTGACTGTTTTTACTACAAATTTCAATGTGCCAATATTATTATTAATATTTCAAGCACAAACTTTACTGCTTTTATTATCAAACTTCAATGTTTTTTTTCCCCTCTTTTATCGTAACATTTTAATCATTTTTCATATTGAATTAATTTAAAAAAAACACAAATTTCAAAAAATGACAGCTGTCAAAATTGTTATTTTTTTTTTTAAGTAAAACATTAACATTTCAATTAATTTAATTCGCAGAGAAAGAAGAAAATACACGAGGTATATTTAATATTAATTAAAACTGTTGAAAATAATAAAATAATTGCAAAATCACATTTTTCCATCTCTTATTATTAAGCCTATAATAAATGGGTTTAATATAAAATTCCCATTTTTTTTTGCGCGCGCGCTGAGAATATATTTATAACCAGAAAAAAATCACGTCACTAAATTAATTTACGGTACTATTCATGAAAATATGATTTAAGTTTGAAATATCAGAATGATTTATTTTCCTCTCGAGTATAAATTACCATAAAATGTATTTCCTTTTTGCTTCGTAACAAGAATTGTTAAATAAATAACTAAAGTATTTGCTTTTTAAAAAAAAAGAAAAAACAGACTTACAAATCCCGATTGAAAATTTATCTTTATATATTTAATATTCTACACCTACACACACAATTCCGAGAATATTTCTCGCGCATTCGATTATTTTTCATTAACAATAACATTTATTTTCCAGTAAAAATCATTAACAAGAATTATTATTTATTACTTATGAGTGAAAAAAGTTAATTACATATTTAAACATTCAATTGAAAATACTGCGTTTGTACTTAAGAAAAAAATAATCGATCAGACGGCAGAAAAAATAAAAATTTTAATTTTTAATATAAATAAAAACTAAAAAAATTTTAGTTACGTAAAATTTAAAAAATTTAAAAGCAATTCTATTTTTACCACTTTGCAAAAAAGTAGTCAAGAACGAGAAAAAATTTCACTGAAGTGTAAAATGACGAGAATTTCACAAACGAATTGCAAACGTTTGTTTTCTAACTTCTATTAGAGATATAATGCTGATAAAAAATATTTCTTTTATAGCGTAACATAATAGTAAATCAATTAATAATTATTCCATTAAAAAAAAGAGATTTAAATGTAAAAAAAAACGTTTAAAAAAAACTATTAATTTTACATTTTAAAGATAATTGCAAATATTGAGAAATAGCGCAATAATTGTTTTTTTAGCAAAATTGACAATAAATTAACAAACGGAAATTAATTACCGATTGGCTAGAAAATGGAAATTGACAAATACTTAGCAATTATCAATTAGTTAACAACTGGTCATTTCTTAGCAACTGATAATCAATTAACAACCTGTAATTAATAACCAATGCCGATTAGTTATTCTTTACTAATTAACTGCGAGCAAAGGTTTTAATGAATTTTCACAGTCAAAATTATAAATCGAAACTCGAAAACCAAATCACTGAATTTTCAACTTATAATCTAAAGATAATTTTAGTATTTTATTTTACTATGAAACTGCTTTTAATTAATTCAAAATTATTTCCTTTTAAATTTACGCCTCTAAAGGTTTGAAGGATGAACCTAAAGTTCTGAACGTTTATTAATTTCTTCTTTAAATTAAATTTTTATTACAATAATTTTGCGTCACTGTCAAAAAAAAATAATTATCGATTTCTAAATGTGAAATTTAATTTTTTATAATTAATAATTTATATTTCGATCAGTAATTTATGAAATAATATTTTAAATGAAAAATATTTCGATCATTTAAACGTTCAAAAATTGTGGATCATTTTGAAGGTTTAAAGAAACGAAATTTATTTATTTTTTTAATTCAATTATTATAATAATATTGCGTTATGCATTGAGAAATAATTTCTGAATTCGTATTTCCTATTCGAAAATTTTTAATTCACTTTTTTGATTTTCAATAGAATTAGTAATTTTTATACGAAAATATTTTTAATGGAAAAAATAATTCGTTTATTTGAACGTTTAAAATTTCTAGAACTTTTAAAATTTATAATTTATCACTAATGAGAAGATATTTAGATTATATTTAAATTTTTTGATATTTTTATTTATATAATTTTTTATTTACCTGAAAATTTTAATTATATTTATTTTTAGTTACTATAAAACTATTTGCTTAGAAATTTCCATATATTCTACAATTTTCTATTTTTGTTTTTATAATTTTTACCTGTCAATATGTCAAGAATTTTACTTTATATCTTAATATTTTTACTTCAAAGTTTTTGTTTATTGAAAAATTATACTTTTAGTTTTTAGTTTAAAGCTTTTATTTATTATAAAATTATTTTTAATTTTTCATTTATTATCATTTATTTTCATTTATTATCATTTATTATTAGTTAATAACTACTGTTTATTTATTTCGAATTTATTTATTTTTAATGTTTTTCTTTTTTCAAATATTATCTACATTTCATATTTATTTTAAGAATATATTTACTCTATATATATATTTAAAAATTATTCGTTTTTCAGGTTTTTATTTTTTCTAATATTATCTACTTTTTACTATTTTTAATTTTATTTTAATTTTATTTACTTTTTATTTTTAAAGTCTTATTTCTTATAAATGCGTCACTTTTTCAATGTACTTTTGATTTATTTTAAAATTATTTACTTATTATTTGCTTTTTATTTATTTTAATAATATTTGCATTTCATTTATTTCAAAATTACTTATTTCCAACTTCTTATTTTATTTACTCTCAACTTTTCATTTATTTTGAAATTATTTATTTCTAACTTTTTATTTATTTTAATATTATTTTCTCCTGACTTTTTATTTATTTTAATATTATTTACTCCTGACTTTTTATTAATTTTAATATTATTTACTTTTAATTTTTTTGCTATTTTAATATTATCATTTACTCATAACAGTTTTTTTGTAATCTTTACTTTCAACTTTTTATTTACTTTAATATCAGTCACTTCTAACTTTTCATTTACTTTAAAATTATTTACTCTAATTCCAGTCACTTCTAAATTTTCATTTACTTTAAAATTATTCACTTCTAAATATTTTATTACTTTCGAAATTTACTAATTTCTAAATTTGAAATAGTGGAATTTTAGCCACTGATTTACGTTAGCAAGAATATTCACTAATTTTTCGTTCTTTACTAATTTTAAGTAATGCTACTTTCTTTAGCCGTCTTAATTCTTTACATCGTCATTTTACTAAAATTTTAGTGATAAATGACTAAAGATCAGTAAAAATTCTTAATATTGTAAATTAATTAAGTGGCATTTTCGCTAATTCGAATTTTAGAGAAAAATGCACTTCTAACTCTATTTATATATCATTAAAATTAACTATTCGGTAATCTTTATTATTTTCACTCATTTACTTAAAATTCGTATTTTTGATTTATTCGCATCTTAATATTTATTTAAATAAATAAATCTTAATATTGAGATTTACTTTAAATAACTGATTTTAACATTTATCTTCATTTGTGAACTATAATTCACTTTTTTCAATTATTTTAAAACTACTAACCTGGAACTATTGTCCGTAATATTGACACTTTTTTATTATTCTAAAATTACGGACTCTAAAATATTCTTCTTTAGAATGCATTTGCATTAGTGGATATGGATATTAAACTTTCTATTAAAGTTGATACTTTTTTTCACCTAATTAATTATGAGTGACAAATTAAAATTGTTTGAAAGAATTTAAATTTCACGAAAGAAGAGACAAAAACAAAAATAATATATAGAGAATCGTAAAATATGGGGATTTAATCGCGCATTTTGTGGTAAACTGGAATTTACGTTTTATAGTGAGAATGAGAGCGCGAATTGAAGCACGTGACATTTTCTGGTTAACCGCGCGTCGCAAGCATTAAGTAATCGTGATTCAAGACTTACCCTTTCCTCCTCACGAATCATCTCCGCGATGCCCGGTTTGATCTCGAGGTCCTCCGGGGGTCCAATCGTTTGATTAATATCTCTCTGTTGCTGCTGTTGTTGTTGTTGTGCTTGTTGCGCCTGCTGTTGAGCTTGCTGCGCTTGTTGAATTGACAGCTGCTGAGCGGCATGAGATCCGAGATGATTCACGGACACGTGCGGACCGGAAGTCACGTGGCCAAGCACGTGGTGACCGACGCCAGGGTGAGAGCTTTGACTGCTCACTGACGGCGGCGGTGGTGGTGGCAATGACAATGATACCGGAAGCTCTTGTAGATTTATTTGAGGTGTCACCGATATTGATGGTGCGTTCGGTGACCCGAGTGATCTTGGTGTTGACGATGAGCCAAGGCCGTGAACCTCAGCCGATATTATACTGCCGGGATCATGATCCTCTGAACTATTTTGATCCGGACTATTGGCGGACGGTGACCTCTCACCAGAACCCCTGCGACGTTTCTTTCGATGCAGCATATTAAGTGCCGCGTCCTCCAACGTTGGTCTTGTTATCAGCTCCTGCTCATTGTTAACATCGGCCAAGCCTCGAATCTTAAGACTCTCCGCTACCTTGAGCAGTGGACCAATCTGTTCCTGCGACACATTTATTTCACCCTTGTACATAAATTCAACAGCGGCTTTCAACTCCGGCCACTTTATATCCTTCATTATGACAATTGGATGCTGACACGGATTATCAAAGAACAATGCCTGGAAGTATGGACTGCACGCTGAGAGGACCATTTTGTGGGCCTTCACCGAATGTCCATCGCAAGCGAGTGTCACATCAACGAAACTCTCACTCTGCAATAATTGATCAAAGACATTTGTTAAATTTGTCTGATAATTGTTCCATCTCAAACAAAATTGCTGGGGTGAACCAGCGCCACTCTGTTGTGCCATTTTTTCACCTAATCCAGCACAAACTTGACTTTCGTCCAAAAAATTAATGTCCTCCAGTTTCACGTCTTATGTTGCTTCACACACGTGTTTGCGTGTGAATACTTGCAAGTCCAAAAGAGAAAAATATCAATCACCACTCGACCGGTATTCAGTCATCTGCAACATATACAAGGAAAGCGCACAAATAAATGCGGGTTCAATAGTTTTTCTTTTATTGAAAAAAAAACACATTCACAATAAAGCACACACAACGAAAAAAACACAATGTTATAATGTCAAGCCGGCAGACGCAAGGGCCATGCTTTCCCAACACATAGTCCGTCCATTAGAGCACAACAATTCACAATTCTCATACCCTCATGGTTGTCACGTGGAAACACATGGCAACACTCCCCCAACACTCTCACACATCCAACGAAAAGAAAAACTAGTTTCTCCTCTCTCCCTCTCTCTACTGTTTCGGAAATATTTCCCAAAAAAACAAATCACTTAATTTATCACTATTCCTGAATTCAATACGAAAAAATTTGATAAAAACCTGGTTCTAACCAGGAGTTCACTTCTTCAAAAAACAAAAGCACAAAATAATTTTATTTAATTCATATACACTAATGATTTAAAACTCGACAATATTATAGACTTGATCGAGAAATGTCACGCGCGATATATTCGGGGTTTTTTTTTTTTTTTTTTTTGGTTTGGAAAAACGTGAAAACGCGGAACGACGTTATAAGACACGATGTTCACCGCGTGACGAGCGCGTCGCGACTGAGACCCCGCGCGCACTCAGTTATCCAGCACCGTGGGGGCGATAGCGTTCGGTTGTTGGCGCGGGTGGCGGAGAGTGTACACGAGTGAAATCCCCCTCCCCCTCCCCTTCTTTACCGACCGCCGCGCGCCCCAAACTCCCAGAGCGGCCCCTCTCGAGAGAGGAAACCCACCCCACCAAAACTCTTGTGCCGCCGCCGCTGCCGCCACCGACGACGTCGCTCTCTTCTCCCCCCCTCTCTCTTTCTCTCTCTCGTTCGCCTATTCTCCCACACCCCCCTCCTACCACTATCCCCCTCACCCAGACACGATGTTTTCCCCCACACATTAAGGCGCCCCTCTCACCCATGGGTAAGCTACGCGCTCTACCCCCCACTGCATCAACTATTCTCGACCCCCTCCTCACCCCACATACAGTGAAAGCGTGAGTCAGGCCCCGCCCCCGAAGACCGCCCCCTACCGCCTCTTCAACTTCATCGAGCAGATGCGAATAGAAATCGGATCTCGAGATCGGACATTTCTTAGCAGGTTTTCTTTTTGTTTTTTTTTTTTCCTTTTTCTTTTTTGTGGAATAATTCGTGGTTTTGTTATATACGCGTGATGATTTTACGACCTTTCGGAGGATAAAACTATTCGTTTCATGGTTGAAATGAATGGTAAAGAGAATTGTCTTGATTTTCCGAGGGTGTTCCCTCGAGTTTTTCAATTAGGACAACTGTTGCTAGCGGATTGTCAAACTCCTGGCTTTTCGAATTTAATTATTATACGAATTGTGGATTAATTGTCAGCTAAATGGTATATTATTGTTTCTCTAATATGACGGTTGGAAGAAAAGATTTTTAATGTTCTTCTAAAAAGTAATTTTAGTTGTATTTTTGGAATGGAAGGTGGGAATTACTTTTTAAAATCATTTCTGTTGATTAGGGGAAGATTGGAAATTTGTAAGGAATTACAATGCAGAAAGAGGATAGAATAAAGAAGAGAAAGGGAAATAGTAAATAGAATGTTTAGTAGAGAAAACAAAGCTATTTAAATCCGCATTATCTTTTGTATTAGTCCCAAATAGTTAAGAATACTATGTACTGAAAGAAATACTTTGATAATAACAGAACAAACCAAAATTAATAGAGTTGTCACAAATAAGTACAAATAATAAGTACAATAAGTTGTCACAGTTTATAAGTTCTGCTTTGGTCTACGTCTTATTAGGGCCAGTTTCACCAACTCCGATTAAAAGTTAATCAATGATTAATGTTATTTTAACCAACCAATCATGGGCGGTTAAAATAACTTTAGTCATTGATTAATATTTAATCGGAGTTAGTGAAACTGGCCCTAAATCCTTAACCAACCAATCATAGGCGGTTAAAATAACTTTAATCATTTTGTTTACACTGTAAAAAATTTGGGGATTTTTCCCTGAGGTTCCTTGTGGAATATTCCACAAATTCACGGGGAAAAGTATTTTCACTACGATTTTGGGGAATTTTCCACAAATTAGTGAAATTTTGAACAAACTTGGGGAAAAGTGATAAAATATTAGGGAATTTTCTACAAAGCGAATGGGAAAAAATTTTTTACTACAATTTTGTGCAATTTTCCACATAATAGTGAAAATTTCAACAATATTATAGGGAAATTTGTATATAATTTTAGGGAATTTTCCACATATTAGTAAGAAAATGTCATTTTATGAAAGCTTTGTGGAATTTTCCCAAATTTAATAAAAATTTCCACAAAGTTGAAAAAACTTTTTTAAATTTTATAAAATGGGTTAATTTTTACTAAATTGCATGTACAAAATTATTAACATTTTTACAAAATGTATGATTTAGGGGCTAAAAAATTAAAATTTATATTACAGTGAAATGTTTTTTTATAATCCTCTATATTATATTAAGTTAATGTACGACCGACCGACCGACCGACCGACCGACTCACACCTCTTTCTATTCTGTCTAACTATCTTTGAAAATACTTCACTCACACATATCCAAAAAACACATACCCATGAATGTTACACATATACACAAAACACATACATGTCATGTCACGCATGCGCAGTAGTATTTCATGAATGTCACGCATGCGCAGTAGTGTTCTATCAATGTCACGCATGCGCAGTAGGGTTCTATCAATATTACGCATGCGCAGTAATGTTCTATCAATGTTACACATGCGCAGTAGTGTTATATCAATGTCACGTATGCGCAGTAGTTTTCTATCAATGTCACGCATGCGCAGTAGTGTTCTATCAATGTCAGGCATGCGAAGTAGTGTTCTATCAATGTTACGCATGCGCAGTAGTGTTCTATGAATATCAGGCATGCGCAGTAGTTTTCTATCAATGTCACGCATGCGCAATAGTGTTCTATCAATGTCAGGCCTGCGCAGTAGTGTTCTATGAATATCAGGCATGCGCAGTAGTGTTCTATGAATATCAGGCATGCGCAGTAGTGTTCTATCAATGTCAGGAATGCGCAGCAGTGTTCTATGAATATCAGGCATGTGCAGTAGTGTTCTATGAATATCAAGCATGCGCGCAATTCACCCACACATGTATACTCAACATATACACTAATCACATGTACATGTATACTCACACATGTACATAAATTATATACACATGTATACTGACTCATGTGCAGATATAAACTGCTACATATACACAAATCACATATATAGATTTAATAAACGATTGATAATATAAATTGCTGAATTTTTTAAGATTCGTTGATGCACGTAGTGTCTGTTGAAATTTTTTTAAATATACGTAAGTACCTCACTCGCTAATGCTGCGCTGTCTGTGTTGTAAGGGAAATTATTTATTTACTTGTGTATTTACTTATTCCCAAGTGCGAAATTAAAAACAGCCCAAAACTGGCCCAGTGACGGCATAGTCAGTGCCTACTCTTGGCAGACAATAGTGGCCCGACTGTCGGGAGGTTAACCGCGGTAGGCCGTCGGCAGCCAATCATCGGCCGATTCTCGGTAAACATTAATGGCCCATTATTGGCTGCCATTACTCCCCAGTGTTGAAAAAATTTAAAAAAAATATATTTTTTATTTAACTAACTAATTAATTCATAATATTTATACAGTTTATTTCCCTGAATTAATCGCAAACTTACAAATATTTGAAAAATTCTTACCGCTCGCGGGGATCGATACCTGAACCTGACGCACCAAAGCCTAACACTCTGACCACTCTGCTACTCTGACGTGAAGTCGAGGAAGCAAAAGGGTTCTTATAAGCTATACTACACTGGCCGATACTGTGCCATTATTGGGCCGAGCTACGTCCCAATATTGGCAATTATAATTTACCATCATAGATACAAAATGATAGACATTAATATGGCATTCCTGAGCCAAGGTACGTCCCAATTCTGGCAATTATAATTTGCCACAAAATGTTTTCCATTAAAGTGCCACTAATGTGCCATTAATAGGCCGATCTTCGTCACATCACTGGCAATTGAATATTGCCATTAAAGATTGATCAACTTTGCCATGAATGTGCCATTATTGAGCCAAGCTACGCCCCAATACTGGTAATCATAATTTGCCATCAAAGATACAAAATTTTTGCCATTAAAGTGCCATTAATGGGCCGATGGTCGGCACATCACTGGCAATTGCTTTTTGCCATTAAAGATTGATCAACTTTGCCATGAATGTGCCACTATTAGGCCGAGAGCTGGCCCAGTCTTAAAAAATTTGAAAATCTGACCATCGGCGCCATCATTGGCCCATCAATGGGACGTTTTGAACACCAGTAATGGCCCAGTAACTACTGCCAATTCTCGGCAGACATTACTAGACCAATTATGGGCCGTTTTTGCAGTCTTGGCATTTCGCACTTGGGTTTGTTTGTTTGACAGAAATCAACAATAACTTTTTAAATGGATTATCAGTGAAAAATGACTTATATTTCTGTAAGTGTAATTTTCAACTGACTTTTAGTAAAATTATTTGTTTGACAGAAATTTACAATAATAAATAAATCACAATACAATAACAATCAGTGAAGAATGACTGATATTTTAGTACTTTTCAACTGATTTTCAGTAAAATTCCACTGATTATGAATCCAAAGTCACTTTTTAAAAATACAAAATGGCGAATCCAGGATAGCGGACGAAAATGAAAGATTTAGTAAGAGAATACGTAAAAATAACATTTCGTATAATGTACAATGACAATTTTTTAAAATGTCACTTCATAATAATTTTTGTCTTATTA